TTTTTAAACTTTCCCTTTGATGGGGAAAGGTCATTAAGGTGAATGGGTGGTGTCTGCTCCACATCATCAGGGAGGGCAGGTATGCACAGGAACTGATGTCAGGTGATGGATGGTAGGCAGATGGGTGGGCCAGTCACATAACCACTGCCATGGTGATAGGGTCTGCCTGAGTCATGAAGGTCATGAAGTGCTGATTAGGTTAACTTGAGTCTTATGAGTGGAGGCAAATACTTGAAATAGAAAAGCTAATTAGTAAAAAATAAGCTGGGAAGGGTGTTGTAAAACAATTACCGGTTCTGTGCTTGGCTAGTAGATTGGGGGTAAATTAAAGTGAACTGCTAGAAAAATATGACAACTAGACAGTATTAAAATGGCTGCTCTTTGGCTATATTAACTTCATGTTATGTCCTTTCAGTAGAAACACACTTATCTACTGAAATGCTTTTTAGTCTGGATTTATCATCTTACTGGTTCATTAATATTAAAGCGTTCAATATAATCTTTGAAATATGTGCATGCTGTATTTGTATAAAAATCATGTTGGTTAGTCTTTTGAAAAATTATACTCTAATAATAGCAGAACCCTTTTTTCTCACTGCCTTTTCTCTTTATTTTATTGATTCTTTTTTTTTTTTTTTTTTTTTTCTGCTTGGTCAATGTTTATTGTCTTTATCTGGAAAATCCTCATAGAAAACTGGTTCAACTCTCAGCAGCCCGCTCCTGAGCTCTTAGGAAGCTCGCCTTCTTTTGAGCTACCCGATCTTTCTTCTGGGCAAGGGACATTTTGGGACGATTCCACCTCTTCTTCTTCACTTCTTTCTTGGGCTTCTTCTCATACACAGGATTCTCCCGTATAGCTGCGTGAGCTTTCTTGTACATCTCCTCCATCATGTCTGGAGTCACGCTGTTCTTTATGTACTGAGAGAACTGCTTCTTGTAAGCATCTTCATCTTCTTCCATTAGGTAACGCATATAATCTGCAACGTTCTGGCCCATGATGTGCTTCCGATGTACTTCTGCATTAAACTCCTTGCCTTCAGAATCATAACCATGGAATCGCTTGGTACTGTGAGGGATAGACAAACCGCCATCCACAGCTCCCTTCAGGGCTCCAAAAACTTTATTGCCAGTGGTAGTTCTGGCAAGGCCTGCATCCAAATATCAGGTGAAAGCACCGGCCTTGCCATCACGCTTTTCTACATTGTATTCATCTCCGGTCACCTCCACTTGG